TTGTACTACCCCGGCAGCAACCTGTCGGCCTTGCCGCTTTACAACCTCTACAACAAGCTCGACTACTGAGACGGACTCAGACGACCTTCCTCCACCCCGAGCCAGGACGCGCGCCCGCCCTTTTCTTCACCCGTCCGTCTGCTGTCGACCGGAAAGGAGAATTGTGCTTTTGGCATTGTTAAGAAATACACCATGTGTATTCATTGCTATTATATTATATTATATATACATATTATATATATATATATATATATATATATTTAAAATATTTATGGGAATCCTCTTTGGGGTGGTTTCTTTCGGTTGTTTTCTAGGCTGGAGAAAGAATTAGACGGCTTCTCTTGCTGGGTCTCGTTTTCTGTGCCAGACGCACCTTAAACCAGCTGTTGCTGCTGGGGGGGGCCCCTCCTCTTTCAAACCAAAACGGGGGTCGTCTTCGTGCGTCGGTGGGCCGTTCTCGAGGTTCTTCCCATTCTTCCACTTCATCCCCCCCCCAGCATTAATTATATCTGCGCGAGGGGGGGGGGGAAAGCAAAACAAAGGGTGGGGGCGCAAGAGAGGCGTACTTCAGACCTGTACATAATTTTTAAAGAAAATAAAGACATTTTAAAGCGTCGTTGGCTAACTTGGTTGGGTTAGATTGCTCATGACGTCTCCTGCTTGGCAAAGCATCTGGCAAAAAGCATTTTGAAATGGAGGGGTTTGCCGGGATTCCAGCAGCTCCGGTTGGAAGCGTAAAGTTTTAAAAAGTTTCCTCTGAGCATAAAGGACTTTTCTCTCTTCTTTTTTTGGGGGTGGGGGGGGGCAGGGGGAGAAGAAGGTAGGGAGGGCAATCGGGGAATTTTGAGTAGCCTTTGAGTAGGGTTCTAAAAGTCCGGCAGCATCACTTGGAAATCAATAGTAGGCGGAGCATTGATCAAAACAAAGGTGAAATATTAGTTATTTCGGAATTCACATAGCCTACAACACAGCTCCCATAGACCCAGGTGAGGGTGGAGGGGAACAACGAAAGGAAATTTGCCTCTTTCAGATTTTTTAGGGAGCAGTATTTCATTATTTGAATCAACGAGTCTGTCTTCTTGGAAGGGAGTATCTCTGGAGCTCAGCGACACACAGGTTACTCTTACAAAGTGTACTGGCTATGTCTAAGAAGTCTTACTTCTGAGTAGACATCCCCATGACCAAATTGTTAGAATCCTTTCTCACAATACTGTATGCTCTCTCGATGGTTAAGGTTTGATATTTCACAATTAGGCATTTTGGCTGGATTACGAGAGGTAAAGTGCTCCTCTTAAAAAAAAAAAAAAACCTGTTTACATTTTGTGATTCAAGCTCCCTGGTGGATTTAATTAAGTTTAGGAGTTTTGCTTCTAACCATTTGGGCTGCATGCTCAGTTCATCAGTCCTCCTTGATTTTTAAATCCCCCAATCTATTTATTCCAAATAGAATTCATTTGAAACTGGTTCTTCTTTATTTAGAGGGTTTTCTTTTTCTTTTTCTTTTTTTTTCTTTCCGTCTCAGGTTAATGTCTTGATTTAGAGAATTTAGAATCCGCGTCAGAGTTTAGAGAATTTATCATTTAAGCAACTTAAGAGCAACTTAACTTAGAGAATTCTGACGTGGATCATTTTCTGGGGGAAAAAAAATATCTCAGGGCGGTGTAGATGTTGGGCTACTATAAACCGTTCAGTTGGAAGAGCTACCCTTTGAAATCAATAGGATGAACAGTTAAAGGTGGCAGTTGATTTGAATGACTTTTAACCACCTTTCGATGCCTTAAACGTGCTACGTGTTTTTTCAGCCTGTCTATTGATATTCACGATAGCATCTACGTCTATTTCTGTGTCCCCTTATACAACCCCAGACGAAACTCTTGCTCATTTTCGATTACTATTAACAGCTATGACCCCAAGTGAAAGGTCCAGGAAAGTTCCATTGATAAATAGCAGAGGCGCAGATTTCAGCCGCCCCGGGATTGAAGCGGTTCCTGCTTTTCGTGATTTGAAGGAAGGCAGCGGCGGGAGGGGTGTGTGTGTGTATCTTCTCTATTAAGTGATCCGAATTGACAAGTGTTTCCGGAAATGGGCTTTCTTCAGAATTTGAGGCGCATTCTGTTCAATGCCACGGTCTCAGGTAAAGTACTTTCACCAGGCCTTTTAAAACAGAAAGTGACATTATAGCCCACCCGTGATTGATCTGAGCGTTCATCCAAGCGCTGAAAAACACCTGCAGCTTCGGAGCTGCCGAAAGGAGCCGGCTAATCGTTTAAACAAAAAGTAAATGGTTCATCAAGTGTTATTTAAATCGCAGGAGTCGTTACGTGGTTAGTGCAGCCACCTGTTCCTTGGTTGGTTTCGGATCTTAATAGGGAAAGCTATTTAAAATGCAGGAAGTATCTCCGCTCTATCGAAAATTACCCTCACGATATTTTTTTAAAAGGAGGTGGGGGATTAGAGCTTCCACATCCTCAATGGGATATGCATGTTTGGGAAAATTAATTTTTAAAAAGTCGGAATCCAAACTCTTTGCTCAAATAAATAAAACATGCTAGTGAGATGCTCCATATTAAACCCATGCATTTTTTCACCCCCAACAAATGGTAAATACTAGCTAGTGGATTAGCTCTAATTCTAGGTTTTCCAGGAACAAAAACATAAAATAAAAACATATTCATTTAGAGCCTGGGAAATGTATTTTTCAGCCTCAGGCTATATTCAGTAGATATATGGGAAATATTGCTAAAATGTTTGCTTTGGGGTCACGTTTGAGGATAATTAAATACATAAATCCTAAGACCTCCAAATGAATTCGTTTAGGCTTCCCCCACCCCCAGAAAAAGGATGTCCTACCTATAGAATGGTTATTGATCTTGTGAATATAACTTGCTTCCAATATGTGTGCTTAGTTCTGGGGTCTTAATATTGACCCTCCTCCTATTTCAGTTTTTAAAATAAAGGAATAGTGTATTTGTTTACTCAGATGTCCATCCCTAATCATTATCTAAAACAGACGCCTCAAAGTGGAGTTTTTATATAAATTTATTGCATGTGTCATATTATAAAGTGCCTTCCCCATTACTCACAGTACATATAGTCTTTCTATCCCGTGAATAAAGACACTAATTCTTGAATAGCAGCAGGATGTCTGTATATACATCCGGTCCAGATCAACAACCTTCAGGACCGAACCGTCTAAATCAAAACAAATATTGTTTCAGGTAAGGCAAAGTGCCCATCTCTTGTTGCAACATCACATCGCGGATTAATCCCTCGCACATTAAAAATCTGGGATCTGGATTGTGCTGGGTAGACCGGCAGTGATGAAGAATTAAGAAACACTTCGGACCTAAAGCTTTTATGGAAATGATCAAAAGTTAAAGAAAGTAGGAAAAAACATGACCGCTCGCTTTGAATCGGTGACAAAGCCGGACTTGGGAGGAAGAATTATATAACTTTCTTTGTAGATGATGGATTTTTTTTCATTAAACCGTCTTTATAATTAATCTGTCTGTAAATGTGAGGTGGCCTGACTCATCCACAATCACTAAGGCTCACTGAGCTGCCTTCTTTCCAAGTGGAAAACTTTTTCCAAGTTTTTAAATCAATTAGGGTGGGAAAAACAATTTGAAGAAGCGCCTTTCTCGACATAGGGTATGAGACTTCTATTAAGGAGTAATTGATTCTCTTTAATTAGGGAACCGTTGGCTAATGCAAAGCTTCAAAACAAGTCAGGATTTTTTTTAAAAAAACTACCTTTTTATTATCAACGATAATACATTTATTTTTGTCAATGATAGTTTCACGTGAAGAAAAATGTGCAAATTCGGAGAAACTGAAGTAGCTCATATATGGTTTATTAAGAATCTATGCGTTAACAGCAGAAAAGAGGGATTAAAAAGAGTCTTCTTTGGAAGGGAAATTGACATGCATGTGTCTTAAAGGCCAAGGAGATGGGGGAAAAAAAAGTAGGATTTGCTTTGAAAAAATGTAATAGGAAACATAAATTCCTCGCAGCAAAGTCTGTGCCACTCTGTTATTTTCTTCTGTGTTGGAAGAGATATACTGTAGGCTTTGCTGGAAATGCTGGGCTTCTCAAGGCGAAAAGTGGCTTTCAATGTGTATTTTGTAGGAAGACCTGGAAGAATAGAACTGGCTTTATTTGCCCGCGAATTTTTGAACGACCGGATGGCAACGGGAAAAGTCTACTCGTTCTTTTGAACGGAATTCTTACTAAAATCAAGGGAACCTCTGATCACGGGGGGGGGGGGGGGGGGAAGGGGGTGTTAGATCATGCAGAAATACTACTTTATGTGAAATCTTCGCTTCCTAGTGGGAGCTTCCTGATTAACATGTGTTTTATCTCCTAGTTCTTGATTAAAGAAGAGTCAGTTTTATATTGGGGCTTCCCTTCGTTTTTCCAGGATCTGCTGAGGGACAGCAAAGCCTCCGGATTAAGGAGGTTTGCAATCATGCTCCCCTTTTATGCGTCTGCCAAATAGGTAGATAGATGAGTGCACATTGGTTTGGTTTGGGATACCGGCTTTCGGATTGAAAACCTCGCAGCCAACAGACACATAGCCTCTCTTTACTGCCGCCTAGCGATCACTCGGATCTTTGCAGTTAGATGTGCCAGCCACAACTTAAATTTTAAAACGGCATTCGGGTCTAAAGTTGAAGTCCAAAGAAGGGGGACAAAAAAACACCCGCAAACTTAAATCTGTGGTTTCTAACAAGTTCTCCCTCAGTCGCTTTTGTTCCGATGCTGACAGCGCCGCGTGAAAACCAAAATCTGGAAACGAGGTAACTGACGTCGAAGGGAAACGCCCATTTCCCCCCCCGACTTGAAAAGCAAAGGCGACCAACGAGAAACCGGAGCGCATTGCACGCCGGACGTTGTAGTCTTAGCTTCAGGGAGCGTGCTCGTCTCCCCGTGCGTACCGCTGAGTTATTCAAACCAGCCAATCCCGCTCGGGGAGCCGGTTTGTCGGCGCTGAGGCTGCTGGGAGAATCGGCCCGGTGAATTTGCGCGCGCGCGTGCGTGTACTCTACGTCCGTTGAGCAGAAGAGTTGGGGACGCGGGAGGCGTCCCTCGTCGCAACGCTGGAGGACAAGGTAAGGCGGGGGGGGGCTCGCGGGGGGGGGGGGTAGAGGCTTCCCTACCGGTATTAGTCCTTCAAATCGAGAGAGCGTTCCATGAAAACCGGAAGTAGGCCTTTTGATCCATCCCCACGTTACTACAGTTGAGGGCCCCTTCCTTCCTTCCTTCCTTCCTTCCCTCCCTCCTTCCTTCCCTCCCTCCTTCCTTCCTTCCTTCCTTCCTTCCCTCCCTCCCTCCCTCCCTCCTTCCTTCCTTCCTTCACTCACTCACTCACTCACTCACTCACTGCTGTTGAGGGCCCCTGCTCCCTTCCCTTCTTTTCCTCGATCCTCGTTTTGGAGTTGAGGCCCTTCCCTTCCCTTCCCACGTTTTTGGAGTTGAGGGCCCTTATTTCTTCCCCCCCCTCCCTCGCTTTTAAGGCTTCCTAAGTCAGGGCAGTCTTTGGCCTTTTCCCAAGTAAGCATGCATAGTATCCTACCGGCTGATTTTCTCCTATGGCAGTGTTTCTCAACCTAGACAATTTTAAGGCATGTGGACTTCAACTCCCAGAATTCCACAGCCAGCAATTGCTGGCTGTGGAATTCTGGGAGTTGAAGTCCACATGCCTTAAAATTGTCAAGGTTGAGAAACACTGTCCTATGGGAAGGTAGGAAGGCCACTCACACAGGTCATTGGCATCCTGGGGTGGATCATGGGCAGTCTGATAAACGAGAAAGGTCTACAGGTAGTCCTCAACTTACAACAGTTCATTTGGTGACCGTTTGAAGTTACAGTGGCACTGGAAAAAGTGACCTATGACCGTTTTTTCACTCTTGTGACTGCTGCAGCCTCCCCGTGGTCACGTGATTTGGATATTTGACAACTGGTTCATCATTTATGATGGCTGCAGTGTCCTGGGGTCATGGCGTCAGCTTTTGCGATCTTCTGTCAAGCAAAGTCAATGGGGAAACCAGGTTCACTTAACAACTGTGTTATTAACTTAACCACAGTGATTCACTTAACAAATGTAGCAAGAAAAGTAAAAAAAAAATGGAGCAAAACTCACTTAACAAATTTCTCATTGAAAAACATAAATGAGGACCACCTGTATCTGATCGGTAATTGTAATAAAGGTTTCATGCTATGGCAGATTTTCTTCATCTGGAGCCCTTTAGAAATTATAGGGCCACAACTTCCAGAATCTTCATATTAGGAAAAAGTTGATCCAGAGTGATAAAAGACAGAATGAGTTTTAGAAAAAAGGGTACTGAATTTGAAGTTGAAGAGGTGAAGGGCTACTAGAGCTTGTAAAAATTTGGACACTCTCTTGATGGCAGCCAGGTATTAAGACTTTGCTGTCACTTACAGTAGGATTAGCCAGGTTTTTATAGGCCAGATTTGGTAATCCCACTACTAAACGTATGAAAGATAAGAGCTCCTGCTTTGCACATGCATTTTTTGTTTTTTTTTTTAAATTAAAGCCCCATTCTGTTTATCTGAACTTTGTTGTTTTCTGTTTCTTTTCCCCTTTCAATTCTTTTTATTTTCTGTTTCTTTTCCCCTTTCAATTCTTTTTATTTTAAGAGCATTAGTGGTATGTCTAGTGGAGTCAGTTAGATCTAGTGGTTTACCAGACTAGAAACTGAGAGACTGACTTCTAGTTCAATTTTAGTCATGAAAGCCAGCTGGGTGACCTTGGGTCAGCCATACACCTAAGGAGTCTGCTGGTTTGAAAAGTAATCCAGGTTAACTGCATTTCCATCTCTGACTGACAATATTGACAATGGACTGCTTTGCAGGTTTGTTGCAAGCTGCAAAATTTCAGATATTATTATTAGAGAGAATGCCTCTCATAAATTTTATGTGTACAGTGGACTGTTTTTATATAAGTTTTTTTTTAGTAATTGATACACTTTTTAGTAATACAAGATAAATAATGATGATCAATGCATTTGAAAACTGCTTTTTGGCTAGAATGTTTTTTCTTTTTTTAGTTTAAATCAATTACAACATAGTTTTTTTTACAGAATATAAATGCCACAAATATACCAGTAGAAGAGAATATATGTACCTCAGCGTTGAACTGTGTGAAGTCCTTGGTGCTCTCTGAGCTTTGCTGTTTGCTTGTAGTTGTTTCATTATTCAACTAGGTAACATCAGTGTAATATATTACCAGTGGCATGCATATCAGTGTCACTGATAATGTTACCTAGTTGGGTGATGAAATGTCTGCAAGCAATTAACCAACCTCAGGGAGCACCAATGACTCAACTGCCACAAATATTCATAATGTAAAATTACACCCATAAAAATTAAAAAGAAATATAATAGTAATACTACAAAGTTCTTCAGTTAAATTCATACTGTGGAGATGCATATTATAGTATTATACAGCTAAGTATTTATTAAGAATTTTGTAAAGAAATAATGACTAGATAATCACAATTGCACTTCCAAACATGTTTATGTAGAAATTTTAAGCAATAATTACGCATCTAACTTTGCACAATCTTATCAGATGACTGGATCAAATGAATTTAAGCTGAACCAACCTCCAGAAGATGGAATCTCATCAGTGAAATTCAATCCAAACACATCTCAGTTTTTGCTTGTTTCTTCTTGGGACACATCTGTTCGATTATATGATGTTCCTGCCAACACCATGAGACTCAAGTATCAACACACTGGAGCAGTACTTGACTGTGCTTTTTATGTAAGTTTTTTTTGTTCTTATGTTTTGAAATTTGAAAGTACCAAGAAAACACAAAGGAAATACTTAGTTCATCTAATAGATGATTAGAACTTTGGGCTGTACAGTATTCTGAAACATGTGTTAGCATTTTGCACATTTTTGCTCTTCCTTTCTACAAATAATCTGTATTATCATCAAAAAACTTTGCATTTCTACATGGGCTATTCTTTATCCAGGCCTTCAATTAATTGGTGAAAATATGAATTAAGTGTTTTATGTATTGGTATAATTCCTGGTGTTTTTCTTTATATAAGCAATCTGCCATATTCAAATGAGTGTAGATATTTTACAATAATAAAAACAAACTTTTTTTTGTAATTTGGGAAACTGAAAAAAGGCAAGTTCTAGGCTGATTATAAATAACAAAAGTGATCTTGTAAACTTGAAGATGGCAACTATCTAAAAGAGAACAAGGATGAAAAGTTGGAGGAGAAAAACAAAGTTCTTCCTATTAGTTGCCATAATGTTCAACTGTAATTTTTTTTCTTGTTTCATTCTTAAAGTCTAGGCAGCAGGAAGAGTGAGTGTCACAATTTAAAAGGGCTAAAAGCTGAAATCTAGATCTGTTGCTGACTTTCTGCTTTACAGCCTAGTGGAATTACTGTTAACTAGTTGATAGTTGAGCAAGAACACAGTGCAGATTGTTTCTCAGAGGTGCTGGAATAATTTGTTCCCTTGTTCTTTAATTGTGTAGCAAGTTGGAATGGTTGTTGCTAGATGACTGTTGAAGGATGATTAAAAGAGGTTGTTTTAATAAGGCTAATGGAATAGCTTTATTTCCACTCTTCCCTTTTACTTTGCATCTTAGAGTGGCTCCCAGATAATTGGTTGGCTGTATTGAGAATTTTGAAATAAGTCAATATACAATTAAGTAAATCAAAATAAAATTGAATTAACGACAGGTAACTAGTCAAAATTGGTCTGGTCACAATTGTTAATTCTAAGTAGGAAATCATTTTTATGTCACTTTTCATAATAATTTATTCTTTCTCATATAATTGCTGCATCTTAGGTTAAGTTTAATTATTATTTTTTGCATATGATAATCTTGATACATACAAAGCCATCTTAACCCATGGGAGGAAAATCTTCCAAACTTGGTTTGATGATACTTTATTAGAAGTAGCCCAAATTACATAAATAGTGGATAGTTTTTTTTAAGTTTTTCAGAACCTTTAATCAGGCAATGTGCTATATCATTAAGGGGTGGGAGAAAGCAAAACAGTTCAAAACTTTGATAGAGCCAAAGCCGTGAGATCTGTAGGTCATTTAATCCTAAAATGATGACTCTGACATAAAGATTGGTAGACCTTAATCCAATGAATATGTTGACAAATGTGTTGAATGAGAACTTACGTTTTAGTCTTTATTTTTGCAGTGTGTTTGGGCTACTGATTGAAAATAAACCTATCTCTAGTAAGTCCAAGGTACTGAAACTGAGTTGAGTTACTATTCCTTCCTCATATACTTTGAAGATCCTGCATAACTTTCCTGATGTTTTCTGCTTATGTGTCTTTTTGGCATTAGCATAAAATAACACAGGAACCTAATCACAATAATTAGAGAGCAACTATATCCCCAGAACCCCAAAGTATGCAACATTTATAAGCCTTACAGCTTTATATGTGACATTGGAGGGAAAAGTGGCTTTTACTATGTTTGTTCTGCAATTATAGAACCTGTAAATAACTTTGTTTTGAAGGACCCTACACATGCCTGGAGTGGAGGATTAGATCGGCAGCTGAAAATGCATGACTTGAACACTGATCAAGGTAAAACTAACCTGATAGTGTCATAGAGTTTGCAGACAGAAAACATATCAGGCTTCAATAGTTGAATCAGGAGGGGAGCCATCCATGACTTATTATCTGAGAATAAACTTCCATACAGTCCTTATTTCTGAGTCAACATACCGGACCTGGTTACCTTCGAGACCGCCTCCTGCCACAGATTACCCCCCACCGACCTGTACGCTCTCACAGAGTGGGTCTCCTCAGGGTACCGTCGGCCAGACAGTGCCGGCTGGCGACCCCAAGGGGGAGGGCCTTCTCTGTGGGAGCTCCCACCCTCTGGAACGAACTGCCCCCAGAGATCAGGGTGATTCCTGATCNTATGTCACTTTTCATAATAATTTATTCTTTCTCATATAATTGCTGCATCTTAGGTTAAGTTTAATTATTATTTTTTGCATATGATAATCTTGATACATACAAAGCCATCTTAACCCATGGGAGGAAAATCTTCCAAACTTGGTTTGATGATACTTTATTAGAAGTAGCCCAAATTACATAAATAGTGGATAGTTTTTTTAAGTTTTTCAGAACCTTTAATCAGGCAATGTGCTATATCAGTAAGGGGTGGGAGAAAGCAAAACAGTTCAAAACTTTGATAGAGCCAAAGCCGTGAGATCTGTAGGTCATTTAATCCTAAAATGATGACTCTGACATAAAGATTGGTAGACCTTAATCCAATGAATATGTTGACAAATGTGTTGAATGAGAACTTACGTTTTAGTCTTTATTTTTGCAGTGTGTTTGGGCTACTGATTGAAAATAAACCTATCTCTAGTAAGTCCAAGGTACTGAAACTGAATTGAGTTACTATTCCTTCCTCATATACTTTGAAGATCCTGCATAACTTTCCTGATGTTTTCTGCTTATGTGTCTTTTTGGCATTAGCATAAAATAACACAGGAACCTAATCACAATAATTAGAGAGCAACTATATCCCCAGAACCCCAAAGTATGCAACATTTATAAGCCTTACAGCTTTATATGTGACATTGGAGGGAAAAGTGGCTTTTACTATGTTTATTCTGCAATTATAGAACCTGTAAATAACTTTGTTTTGAAGGACCCTACACATGCCTGGAGTGGAGGATTAGATCGGCAGCTGAAAATGCATGACTTGAACACTGATCAAGGTAAAACTAACCTGATAGTGTCATAGAGTTTGCAGACAGAAAACATATCAGGCTTCAATAGTTGAATCAGGAGGGGAGCCATCCATGACTTATTATCTGAGAATAAACTTCCATACAGTCCTTATTTCTGAGTCAACATACGGGACTTCAATATAATTCAACAAAATAGAAAACTCTGGCCAAATTTCATAAATTATTGCTTTGGTTCTTTTTGAAAGAAAATGTTTTATTTCTTCTCTATGAAACCAGCTGCAGTGTATTTTTTTTTATTTAAACACTATGTTATTCATTTATCTAACAAACATGGGGCAGTGATAACCAATATTATCTCTCAAACTAGGTTGTATTCACAGCAATTTAATGTCATAGGCTTCCTTCTCACAATATTCTCTTTGCTGAGATTATGGGAAATAGGTATTCATTCATCTATAAATTATTGGAACACCATGCCAATGTGTACCCCAGTATTTGACAGATACTGCCAAATTATGTTAAATTGTTCCTGAAGCTTCTTTCAGCTAAAACAGAGGAACCTTGAAAGATTTTTTTTAAAGGGGATTTTTTTGTATTGGGTTGACTTTTTCTTTGAAAAATTTTCATGAGAGATTTTCTCAGATTTTTTTTTAAATTGCAGGCTAATGGTGCCATCTGAAGAAAGCCGCTTACTAAGTGTCTGATACCTAAGTAGAGTATATAATTGCAAAATATTAAACTTATTAAGAGTGTATTTTCAAAAGCCCATCCTCATTATTTTAAAAATTGATTATTTTTAATCTTTGTTATTGTGAACTATGATCAGGCACTTAGATATTGGAAGCAGAAGAGCTGAATGAAATGAGATAAATAAGAACTTTCCATAAGAGTGTTTGCATAAATTGAAGATATTGGAAAGCTCGGGCGTAACTTTGAAGGAAAAAGCTATTAAAGCGATAAAAGATTTTAGACTAAAAATTGTATTAAACATCCCGATAAAAGCTTCTAAACAGTTTAATACTATTATGTTGACAAATTGAATAGTAATATAGGAAGAAGGAGCTTATTGACAATGGTTTGTTGAGATTGTTTTGTATCTTAAATAGCGGCAAAGGCATGCACTAATGTGGTCATGCGGCATTCACCAGTTATTAGATTTTCCTGGTAAGCTGTTCATGACTAGAATTTTCAGTTGCATCCAGCAGTTAGGTGCGTAAATCTCTCTTATTCATTTGAAAATCTCTGCATGGGCACCAACTTCCCTGCTAAGCTTCTTTGAAATAGTGAGTTGATACCTATTAGTCTACATTTAACACTTCAGGAGTGTATATCTGTTGTAAAGATTAGAGGATCAAACATTCCTTAAAGGATGCCCCAGCATCTATATAGATTAATGAATGGCTGGTCAAACCGTGATACTTGTGCGTGAATATCACCTTAATCTTTTTATTACATTTCACTATCCCTGTATCTAGTAAAGCTAAATGCATTATTATTATTTTTTTCAAACAGAAAATCTTGTTGGCAGTCACGATGCTCCTATAAGATGTGTTGAATATTGTCCAGAAGTGAATGTAATGGTAACAGGAAGTTGGGATCAAACAGTCAAGTTATGGGATCCAAGAACACCTTGTAATGCTGGAACATTTTCTCAGCCTGAAAAGGTTTGTCCTTGTTATTTAGAGTGCTATACATCATTTCAATATGGATTAATTCTACTGATTACTGTAGATACATATCAATAAACATACAATTGCATAGTGAGTTAAAATTAATGTGTACAACAGAGATGTGCAAAACTTTTCTGTGAATGGAACATTTGCAGAACAACATATCTGGATGTTCCAAACTAATATGATCAGCAGGAAAAATAGAATGCTCAATATTCTCAAGAATTTTCCCATGGAACAGTAAGATTTGCAACTAAAATGTATTTGAGCAATTAAATATTAATATCTCCCATATTAGGTCATTGTTTTGGGATTATACATTGTGAAATTTCCTTTTCCTATTCAGGAGAAAAATGGTGGGAGAAAACTGGAGATTTACCTTTGGTTAGAGTGCTTATTTATATGTTTGTTCTGTCTTTGAGTCAGACTTGATCCCTGGTAAATGGAAAAAAAATCAATGCAGTTCTTTAGGTAGCACTTTTAGAAGTTACTTCGTAAGTCTGAGAGGGAGAGACTGGTCTAAGATCACCCAGCTGGCTTTCACAATTTCCTTGCTCCTACTCCAACATCTTAATCAGTAGACCAAACAGGGTCTCTTAAGGTGTACTAATCAGCTTTAAAATGTCAGATATAACAAAGTCATGGTTTAATTAAATTTCCATTCCTGAGTGCTAAATTGTACTTTTTCTATTCTTAAAGAAATTAATTTGTGTAAACCAGTAATATAGTTAGTTAGCCAAGGTATATTCAGCATCAAAGTATTCCTTATATACAATATGAACTGTAACACTTATTTCTTAGTCGCTTAGTTAAGTCCTTATCAGAGTTTGGCCTAGGATTCCTTAGGGGTTGGTTATCACACACTTGTTTCATTTTCACATGAACCAGTGAGAAAGATCATCTGTCAATTCTGGGTCTGTCATCACAAGTAAGCTATTAAAGGTGTGGTAGAACTTGAGCTTGTATGAAATTGTTTATATGTGGCTATCTTTGCAGTAATAAAATGTCACTGTTAAACTTGTGTTGTAATATAGTTTATTTTTTTGGCTCTACTATTAATTGGAGCAGGTCTTAATTTGTTGCCCTTGGGAACTACTATATATGTTATTGTATGAGATTAGGATTAGATATTTCATTTAAATAGATACAATTAATTTGAACATTTCTGTGGTAGAATAAATTCCTTAAAATATCCTTGGCCAAATTTATCTTTTATCTTAACGTTTATATTTTTACTAAAACGAGACTTATGACTACAGGTAGTCCTCAATTTAAAACAGTTCATTTAGTGACCGTTCAAAGTTAACAACGGCACTAAAAAAAGTGATTTAACAACCATTTTTCACATGACGGTTGCAGCATCCCCATGGTTGTGTGATCAAAATTCGGACACTTGGCAAGTAGTTCATCCTTAAGATGGTTGCGGGTGTCCCAGGATTATGTAAGCACCTTTTGTGACCTTCTGATAAGCAAAGTCAATGGGAAGCCAGATTCACTTAACAACCATGTTAACTAAGTTAACAAATGCAACGATTCACTTAACAATTGTGGCAAGAAAGATCATAAAATGTGGCAAAATTCACTTAACAAACGTCTCACTTAGCAACATAAATTTTGGGCGCCATTGTTCTTTGGGCCTGTTTGGAAAGCACATTTGTTTAACATCTTTGAAATGCTGGCAGCCCATATACTAAAATTAGGTATACTAATGCAAAATGTGCATCCTTTTGTTCAAGGTATATACATTATCTGTATCTGGTGACAGATTGATAGTGGGAACAGCTGGTCGAAGAGTTCTGGTGTGGGACTTACGGAACATGGGCTATGTTCAGCAGAGAAGAGAATCAAGTCTTAAATATCAGACCCGTTGCATCAGGGCATTTCCCAACAAACAGGTATTTAACTTGTATAGCAATATTTCATATTTAAGCTTGTTGAATGAAACATACTATTGTTACTTCAGCTGTCTCCTGGCTTATTGAAACTTCCGAATTTTGCTATTTTTCTTTGGGTTTGTATGTGTCTAGACATGCCCGGAGTTGTTTTGAAATTAGTCGGTCTAGAAATTTGATGAATCAATTATAGCGTATGGGAATTCAGTTCAATGTACAGAAAATATTGCAACAGCATCATGTTTAATACGGTTTCATTTTCCTAAAAGGTAGGCTTTCAGAAAATACATAAAACTACTTTCTTAAGAGCCCTTTCTAGATTGACTTTTTCCTGGACCTGTCAGCACTATGAAGAAAATTAACTTTGAAACAAGAGAGTCTTTATTTTGGTTACTGTACCATTATTTTTGATGGGATTCAGTGTAGCATCTAATCATTATTTTCTATTCTTGTGGTAGAAGAAAAAAGGAGGAAACAAATTATCCTTTTGATTAAAAAATAGTAAGCAGTCCTAGAAGTAGATTTCTTTTTTAACACAGTGAAGGCATTAATTTTATCTATTATTTGTGGGCAAATACATTCCCTAATGAAGTCTTTGGGATGGCTTTTCATTTCTGAAAAGATGTTGGGATATATTTCTGTTTCCAAGATTTCTGAATTAATCTACTGAATTTCTCAGTAGACGTGAAGTAGGAAATTATCTCCATCTTCGGAATCTTTTATTTCACAGGATACGTACATTTTGAAGTGCACAGATGTAGAATGTGATAGAAGTATTTACACAAAAGAAAACTTTACTAGTTGTTTGTGACAATAACTAAAGGATTGCTATGTGTTCAATAGGGCTATGTGTTAAGCTCCATAGAAGGTCGGGTTGCAGTTGAATATTTGGACCCAAGTTTGGAGGTGCAGAAGAAAAAATATGCTTTCAAATGCCACAGATTGAAGGAGAATAACATTGAGCAGATTTACCCCGTCAATGCCATCTCTTTTCATAATGTCCATAACACATTTGCTACAGGTAATTATTTTCTTATTGTATCACTGATAGTAGATATTCAGATCTAATTTGTATGGATAGTGATCCTGGTTTCATATGCAATATTGCATCAATTTTATTATTTATTTGGTGGCTAAGCAGCATACACAGGTTTATATTTATTTTTCTTCCAGAACAACTGCTCTGTTCAGCAATTTGATTTGTCCAGAGTTATGCAATGAGTTTTTATGTCTGAGGGATGGCTTAGAACTTGGATTCTCCAGCAAGCCCTGAATCATTTTATGATCTTTGTATAGAAAATAGGATATTGTGAAATCTTGGGCCAGTATTTAGCCCCTGAAGTTCTTTTAATTGGCCATAACTGCAGTTCCTGAACATTTGCAACATGTTAAATTGAGGGGGGAAAGTACAGAGTGTAATGGCATTTGAACTAATTGAGTTGCCCTGATTTCAGATTGTTGGGCTTGTTTCTTTTCTGAATTTTTGTTCTCTTATAGCTAAAATTGATAAAATCTTTTGCACTAACCTTAAAAATTTGTACTAAGGTTACAGAAGAATGTAACATTAGTTCCTAATAACTCCCTTCTTACACATCTATTTGTAGGTGGTTCTGATGGCTTTGTCAATATTTGGGATCCGTTCAACAAAAAAAGACTCTGCCAATTTCATCGGTACCCTACCAGTATAGCTTCACTAGCTTTCAGTAATGATGGGACTACTCTTGCAATAGCATCCTCATATATGTATGAAATGGATGACATTGAACATCCTGAAGATGGTATCTACATTCGCCAAGTGACTGATGCAGAAACAAAACCCAAGTAAGTATGCTCCACCCATACTTGAATTGCTCTAAGTGCTTATTCCAGGATTGATTATTTTCCTGAATTCATGCATAGCATTGTTGATTACTGTAGAAAGTACATTTTCACCATAAGACTGGAATTGATTTTATCTTCTCTCCACACTCTCGATATCTGTAGGCTATTAGGTAACTGAGGGATAAAATTATCTATTTGTTTTAGGGAAGGAGATCAAAATTTCTTTCTTTCTGAATGAACTATTATACAAAATTGTACTATTTCTGGCTTATTGCTTTCAAATGAAGCTGAAGAAGCAAAGATCACCACTGTGAGCAAAACTAATTATGTAGGATTTTAAACCATTGACTGTCATTTTTGCATGTGGGTCAGCTCTTAACTTTAATATGTTGAGCTTGAATTAGATACAGCAGTTGTGTAAATTACACACACAATTGGATATCCTTTGATATCCAAAATTATGCCACAACTGGTAACACAGACAAAATGGGGAGGTGCACAGACTTCATATATGTACTCTCAAACTAAATATATTGTGAGGTTTTTTCATCATCAGTGCTATTTAGTTATATTGTTTCTAGTGTATATTAAAATAAGAAAATGCATTGCATATGCTTGTAAGCTTTGAAAATAGGTTACTGATTACTGTCAATAGCCCACAAGTATCTGATTGCCATTGGCATATGGACCTTTTGGAAGAAAAGGTAGTGCAGGTATGGACATAAAATTGCCTGAATGCCTGTAGGAAAGCTAAATCTCTTAATATAAAACCGGAACATTATATTATTATATTAGAAAAAAGAGAAGGACATGTGCAGTTTGCAATTTAGAGCTTTTGTTTGAATAAGATTGCATTTTTGTTTGGCCTTTTTATTATTTTGAATTCTTGTGATTGGGAAAGCTTTGAGTCATCTTCCTAAACTCTGCCTGTTGAAGAGACTGTGAATCACATTGTATTTTTTTGCTCATTAAAACTTGTAATTGGATCAAAAGTATCTCACAGTCTGGTAATTTGAAATTTAACCTGATTACTGCATTTTGAGATAGAATTTATGGAAGGCTATTACAGTGATATTTCCAAAATCAATTAGTTCAATTGGAGTGATGCAAATCACTCAAGCAAAAGAACTAGAATTATGAAGAATGTCTAGATTTCAAGGATTATTTATTTATTTCACTTATAAAATGCATTATGTTTACTCCCCCCCAAAAAAGCCCCTCCCAGATATAAAATCCTAAACCCCATTCCTAAGGGCAATAAAAGATTGAAGTGATGACATTTCCATAGGTTAATATAAAACTTCATGGTGTCCTGGAATTCAGTACTATGCACATTTGTTTCACTTAGCTGTATGATCTGCTTCAAGCATGTATATAAGTAATATTGCATTCACATTCTTCTTAAAGCAGAAGCACATCACCTTACAATGGAGCCAGTAAATGTTCATTACATTACATTACATTCTTAACATATTCAGATATTCAATCTGTGTAGAGAGACCCCAATAAAAGGTTTTAATATTTTAGTTAGAGGTAACATTGAATAATAATATGATATTTTTTTGTGTGAAAATTTGTTGCTGTGCTTGGATGTATTGTTTAAAAATACTATCAGAAATAATAGAGAAAGCATTCCAAAACAGCACTGTAGCAATAGCACTTAGACTTACTGTATTTTATATGTCAATCATAATAATTTTAAATTTCATATTTTTAGTCAGTTTCTTTATTTTTGTCTATGATCTGTTATGCTTTGCATAGAGTGCAAAAAAAAAAAATAAGCTTAGTGCAAATTGTTTTCACTTATCATATCCTTTTTCTTATGGATGTGTTCCTGTAAATTATTTGCATTGCGAGAATTTAACATGGGAAACTCTCTTAGTGGAGTGAAGACAATCATATGACTTTACATTCAGCTGTTTCGATACTTGTGTTGTGCTTGCTAATTATAGGGATGCTTCATTCTGCTTTTCGAGGAGGTTAATCTGCAATTAAACAATATTTCCTCTTAGCTGTCCATTATTTTCTGGAACAGATGGTTCATCATTTCCTGGGCTGTTAAAAACAGCAAGGTTAAGGTTAGACTCTTGGGAGTTGGTTAGTTTTGAATCTTATTACAGGATGTAGAAGCAAAACTAATAAGAATAGCACTTAATATCATTTTGTGGCTGCAAACAATTATTTATTAGTAAACAATTGATCCCAGAAGGGCAAATTGTTTGAATCGGTAATGAGCTGAGACAAGGCAGAGCATTCTGTATCTGTTTATTTGCAAAATAATTGTAACATAATTGCAATGCATTTAGACAGGCATCTATTTGGACTTGTTTCTCTCTATAAATGAATTTCTGAAAGTTTAATTTATTTTTCTACATGTTTATTCCTTTCTTCAGCCAGATGCGATAGAAGTTTCATAGTGATTCAGTACCATAAACACATTCAATAATAAAATTGATAATAGCTCCTTACTATTTCTAAAATTCTTAATAATGATTCTGTTTTGATGTATTTTGAAATACAAGGAAACGTTAAATCTTCTTGGGATTTTGTAAAGGTCTGCTGCTTTAGAAAGTTAAAAATTTATTTAGAACAATACAGAAATGCAAATACATGTCTAAAATCTCTTTCTTTATTGCAGGTCAACTTAATCTTGATCAGAAACTTCTAGCAAAACAAACTAATCCTTTGATTAAATGAAGATGTTTCAATGTTGTTGTCATAATGTTTTCATTGGCTATATTGTAAATCTTTTTTTAAAAAACAGCCAAGAATTGTTAATTTTTGTTCACCTGATTTTGAAATATATCTTTAAGCCAGTTCATTCTTTTGAAATGTGACAGTTGAATTTTTGTATAGATTAATGGTGGCCTAATTGTTTGAATAAATATTTTCAACCCTCTCTCTCTCTCACCCCCCTTCTATCCTAAAAGTCCTACTTTCAACAGCAGTGGTGGTAAATATTAAATCCTGAATTTAATAATGGCATCGTTTTTGGTGTACTGGGCTTGTACATCAGCAACAATATGATGAAGAAAACATTTTGACTTTTTTCAAGCAACTTAAATTTAATGGCTGTAACTCTAACCCTTCCCTGTTTATTTTTTTATTGTAATTAAGTTCTGTGGTCAGCAGGTTTACGAAAGTATGTCCTGCAGATTTAAGGAATTTATAGCATAAATTGAAATTTTATGGTCATTGTTAATGACCGGTGTCTACTTTTGAAATTTGATTCCTTGGAAAAAAGTATATTTTGTCTTTAAATAAGCACCCAGTTCCACAACAGATATTTGTATCAGATAAAAACAATTGTTTCTACAAATGTGTTGTTACTTGCAGAATATTAATTTGAAATATAATAAATTCAGGATAGAATTGTAAATTCTATATGGCTAAAATTTAAAATACATAGACTTTCTTAATTCTTGAAACAATTTTCATTTACAACTAGAATTAAATACTGATGGCAATAAAATATGCAATTAAAAAAAGTAAAGAGATTGCTAAGAATATCGATCCATAGAATCCATGTGAAAATTTTGATAAATAATTATTTGTAGATCCCAAATTGTGCCTTCTTTGAAACTTTTCCTAAAATTTTATTTTTTGGGGAGGAAGCTTTGGATATTTTCTTTTGTTACTTAAACTTTATTAATCTGATTTTAGGATGTAATTTTCAGTTTTTATTTCCCCCTTCAAAATGTTTTCAGATTACATTAGTGGTTTTTAGAGGGGCATTTTTGGTGATAAAGTTTGTTCACCTTTGCTCTAGAATTAGTAATAGTTTACATAGTTATAGAACAGGTTTAGTATCTATGTTTATTAGTAATCTTTACCACAACATTGGATCATCTGATTATCTTTCTGTAATTGTCCCAATATCCTAATGGTTAGTTTCTGCCTTGGCTGTGTGATTCAGATATCCCTGAAAATATATTTCAAGAAAAGTATCAACTATTCTGTTTCCATTAAAAAAGTTATCAATGTATCATACTTCAGCCTTTATTCTGTTAAGTCACATTTAGCTTTGCTCCAGCTGTAGTCTGTCTAAATGGTCTTCAGATTAATGAAGTAGAAATGTATTGCTTCTGTACTTTCAGAACAATGAAATCTTAGTAGTAAGGGTTATTTTTGAAATAGAAAGCCTTTCCATTTTATTCCCTTATGAGTCATGAAAATTAATGCATTCCATTTTTTCAGCCATTTGCTATTGCCACAATTGACAGCCTTTGAAAATGATTCTGAAACTGTCAACCGATCAAAGTACTCTGCTATAATACTAAACTATATAGCATTAGTACTAGATATTATAGGAGGCTTATACAGGGCCTGTTGCAATCTTTTATACCTTCACTAGAGGCATAACAGAAGGCCAAAATAAGAGTAGGTGAGGCAAAGAAAAATTCAAACAGAAAGTGATACAAATATATTGGAGAATTTAAAGGTGCTGAGCCAATAAAATGCCAGTGAAATTCAAATAGCAGAGAAATTGGAAATAGGAGAATGTGGGTTAGACGTTGATCTATATATCAGATGCCAATACACATAAAAGCTCAGTTACCAAACCAAATAAGTGTGTTTTCAGTAGTTAGTTTTTTTCTGACTAGTATCCATAGCCTCATTTATTACGGGCTCAATAGTGGAGGTGTTACGCAAATGGAAATTTGTAAGTACTATAGCAAAGAAGTCTGGTAGGATAGTGGATAGATAGTTCTGTTAGTAAAACAGTTGCATATGCATATATGTATACGTGAGGCATTCCTTGTATGAAGAAGCAATTCATCTTTTTATTCTCTGGACTTATGAGGGCACAATTTACTGTTGTGTAATACACAGTAATCTTGCTTTTTGCTGTATGAGATAAGGCAGAATGATTCCTAGCAGTGTAACTGAGCTCTACAAAGCTTTTTTTAAATGATAGCTGTTTGCTGAAGATTAGAGAGCTTTCCAGAACATAGAATCATACTGACCATTCTAATATTCCTTCCATCATCCCAGGCTGCACACAGGTAAAAATGTTACAAGATGTCTTTGAAAAGACTATCACAATGTCTTTATCTGTATATTTGTATCCCAAATGCTGTGCTGCCACATTTCAACAAATAGATATTCTGATGAATTAATTAGGGTAATTTTAATATGTGTAAAATTTATAGCTTAAACCCATTGAATACAGTCTTCTAAAGAAGGAAGCTTAGGTTAACAATATAAACAGGTTCTTTTTTCCTACAATGTTATGAATTTATATTTTGTACCTAGTCTGGCTCAAATATATTAATGGTCGAATTCTGTAGAATTTGGAAGCATATTAAAATAAATACTTGAATCTGTTTATTGTAAAGCTGTGCTGAAAATGCAATATGTTTTCAAAGACTTAGATTTTACGGACAAGAAAGCATGGGAACCAATGCAGATGTATTTATCTAATTTATATAGCTGCCTATCTCACAGGCAAGTGACTCTTCATTTTTATATTGTACCATTACTTTTATGCCAATTGCTCAGATTTTTTTTCTCCTATCCTTTTGCTTCACAAAATTTTAAATGATTCATAAATGAAGTTTAAATGTGGTGAATGCCCTTGTTTATATCAAGGGTCAAGCAACATTTCAGATTTTTGCCATTCACCAATCACTTAGAATCTTTGATATTTTCTTATGATCTTTTAAAGAACAATGATATCTCACAAGATTATAGCGATTCTTTAACATTTTCTTTACATTTCACTTAATTATTACGTTTCTTAACTTATTTAATTTGGGTGCTAGGATCACAGCATTTGGAAATTGATGTACAGCGTGATAGTCATGACCATCATGTCACACCAAGTCTGTCTGTCTGTCTGTCTGTCAGTCAGTCTCTCTCTGTCTCTCATCTGCCAATCAATCAGTATGCTAATTTAAATTTCATTTGTTTGGTATAACCATAGCACTCAGCACTCAGTGCAGTTCGACTACTACTTTTGCCTTGTGCATGCATACCATAGTTGTAATTTTGTATCTGTGGCATCCATTGTGCATAACAAAACCAAGAAGTATTTGTTTTATGATTAGTTTTTATTCTTGGGTATTTTGCATGGATAAAATCTTCCCTCCCTCTCAGTACTTTGCCATTATGTTACAAATTTATGTTGTTTGATCTGTCCACTGCCTTTGCCACAACCATCAGTTAGCTTGCTAACTTCATTGCCTTTTTGCTTCCGCAGTGGTAGGGCAATATTTTCTCTGAGATACTTTAGCTGATGTTCACATATGGTACATTTGCTTTAATTTAATTGGTATTCACCTTATAAGCTTTTGGAAAGCAAATCATTTATACTTAAGATGGTGCAATATAACTACGCAAATCTTAGGGAAGTGGGAAGACCTAATATTTAAATAATTTTTAAGGCCCCAGGTTATTTTAAAATGCCATCTAGAGTTTACTTTAAAAAAAATCCACTGAAAAAGAAAAAAACAGTACAACTAAAATTCTCAAATTCTAACTCCATCCTCCGTAAATAAGGAAAGAACCCTTACTTTCAGAACAAATACTATAAGATTTCAAAGAGCAGTTCTATACATAATGTAAATATGTATATGTTTTTAGATTGGAGATTAGTACATAACCCATCTTAAAAAGTGTGTGCTATTGGTAATTGTAATTTATATTCAGTTATGTATCAAAATTCAATGTGCATCTACATGTGTACATTAGCAGTTTCTCAGAATATGCACATTGTTGCAAGCACATTTTCCAAACCTTATTTTTGATGGTTGCTGTCATACTGTGTTTTTGAGGACTTCCATTCGTGTGTCAGGTGTCATGACAAATTGGGAATGAACTGTATGGAATCCCCCATTTCTTGTGGATATGCAGTACTCAATCTTGTGAGAAATACTATGCAGACATCCCTCATGTCATGTTCTCTTTTATGTCACCACTAAGACAACTGGAGAAGGATTTAAATTTTTTCTACCAACCTTTGTCAGGGGTTCAGATCAAGAATGATCTCTGCCATGTTTAGGAAGGAGAAAAGGGGATTGTCGCTGCTTTGTAATTGCTGACAGAAAACAAGAGCAAAGCAAAATATTCAAGTCTTTCCCATCTACTACCATCTCTATAAGGACTTTACTGATCATTTTTTTCCTTCACTGTCCAGTGGGTAGCTAATCAATTGAATGGTGAGGAATTCTGGACAAAAAAATGAGATTTTTTCCGGCAGGTTTGGGGGTCTCGTGGAGACGGAATCTGCAGCGTAGATGGGCCATTCTCCCAGTCTTATTTTTATTTATGTGTATTATGTGTAATTTAATTGTTTCTAATGGTTATTTTAAACTCAATTATTAATTGTTTTATTGTAGACTCGTGAGATTGGTGGCTAGGTAAATTTGATTGATTACCTATACCTGTTGAAAATAAAAGAAAACAAATTCTTATCATCTGATATAAACTGGGCAAAACAAAAATGTTGAACTGAACAGAAGCATCTATTTTATCAAAGCATTGTATTTGGTTTTTCTTAACTATAGTTCTTAATTTCAAAAACAAAAGTGCACCTGAAATTTCTGATTTGGATATAATTAAATCATTTCCCCAGCCCTCTAATGTCCTTAATCAACCCCAAAGAAGTATAAATTATTAAACATCTTTTTGGGATTAAATTTTTATTCCTAATTACACACAAAAGATATATATCATAAAATATTCATCACATAATCGTGATTTAAAATGTACAGTCTCCCAAAAGATGTGATTAGCAATTTTAAACACCCAAAACTTAATTAAGTAGGTAATGGATGAGAACTGAGACTTAAGAGGGGGACAATATTTAATTTTTTTAAAGGTTTTATCACTAGGTCTAGGGACTACCCAGTAAGAAATACAATCAAATTTAAGGTGGCATGCATTGCTTTGGAATCCTGAAAAAAACCCCACTATTAAAAAATCTTTTCCTGTGGACAAATTTAATTCTATCTTTTATATGAGTTTTTAAAAGTATATTGTGTCATCTTGTAGAGATTCCTTGGTATATATCAATCTTTTCATGATTTTCTCAGTTTCAGGTCCTACTTGCTATATGGTTCCTTATGTTTGTACCACAACAAAAGCAGTCTAGTTAAGCCACTCAGAATCTTTGCAAATTTCCTTTTTCACATGATAACTGGAACGTTCAAAATTTTCAGCCTAGTTCAATTAGTAGAACTACTGGAGCATTCATGTGACAGTCAAAATAGTCAAGATGGCAGCCACAATCATGGAATCAAAGCCTTGCCTCCTTTCATAGATCCGGATGCATATTAAAAAGGACAGGGCTTTGACTGCATGTTGTGACTACTATCTTGACATTTTGATCCCTCTGCAGATACCCCTTGGAGTTATACAAATGTAACCTTGTCATAAAATCAGTAGTAATGCCAATCCAATTAATAAAATAGGAGCAGGATACTGATGGTCCTCATTTAATGTCATTGCTTGTTCAGCCCCTATTCAAACTTACGATGGCGCTAAACGAGCGGTATGACCAGACATGGGCACATGATTGTAATTTGCTACCTTCCCTGTCGGTCTTCTCCAAGCAAAGTCGATGAGGAAGCCAGCAGGAAGTCAGAAGTTACAGTCATGTGAGGTCCTTGCTTAACAATTTCTACGGTCTTCTTTAATAATGACAATTGGGACTGCCGGAGCTGCCATCTCTAAGTGGTGCAGTCACATGATTTCTTTTGCCTTATGAACAGGTATACTCAAGGTCAAATGCTGAATTAGATGGAAGGGTTCTTAGCTGAGAAAAGACAGGTGTCCTTTTGTTGCTGGTTTTGTTGAAATGAGGATAATTCTTTGAGTAACAAAAAGGAAATATAGGTAATTGAGGTGCAGCCATTTTTTTTACTCTTACTGACTGAATAAATTAATAAATAACTAAGGGGCCCAGGATTTGGTTCTCCTGTCCATTTATCTGTTCATCATTAGGATAACTCTGTGAAAACAGACCAGGATTGACCCCTTATG